ACCCCATCTCCCTGGGCTGCCCTGTGCCCAGGTCTGAGTAAGCCTACTCTCTCCTGGCTTCTCTCCTGCTGATGTCCTCCTGCTCTCAGTGTCCAGAAGCACTTGTCCCCAGCCTCCTTGTCCCTGCCTAGTACAGAGGTGGGGACTCCTATGCCCATATCCTCCTCTTGATCCCACCTCTGCCTTCTGTTTGTAGCCAGGCCTCGCTCCTTGCATGCCACCGGTGCTGCTGGCACAGCCACGACCCTTCTCTGCCTGCTCTGCTCCTGCTTGCTCCCGGGGGCTCCCGTGCTCCAACCACCAGGCCAGGCAAGAGGAGTCCTGGGGCCTGTGGAACAGCCCCCTTGGTCAGGCAGCTGCTGAGCTTCGGTCCTGGGGCTCGCTCCCATGGCCCCAGAATGGGCACAGATCCCCCGGGCAGGCAGGATGGAAGGGGCACAGGGGAGGCTGGCGCTGGTGAGCTGCCCCACAGGCAGCAGCACCACCCAGAAGTCCAGCAAGGGCCCAGGGCCGGTGTCCGTGGGAAGCTTTAATGGCTGCACCGAGGTACGGGCCCATGGGTGGCCGGTGGGTGCCAGCATCACCAGATGAACATGGGCTTGCCGTCGTCGTGCGCCAGCTGGCTGAGGCAGGAGAGCAGCAGCAGTGCGTCGGTGAGCATGCTGGGGTGCACGGTCTCCACCAGCACACGCTGCAGGAAGTCCACCGTGTAGGAGCCGCCCTCCGAGGCGGCTAGCTCTGGCCGCTCCCGCAGAATGCCGTAGGCGTTCACCAGCTGCTCGGTCAGTGCCGGGTGCACCCGCCCGTTGTAGCCCAGGCTCTGCAGCCGGTTCATGACGCTCACATAGCGCTGTGTGAGCGTCTGGCACAGCTCTTCATCCAGCTTGTGGTCGCTGGGGTTCAGGGAGGCCTGAGGGGAGAGCAGCCATCAGGGAGCCTCCTGCCCCACTGGGCACACGAGCCAGCAGGCAGGTGAGGGGGTATGGTTGAGGGAGAATCACAGTCCGAGAGAGTGTACTCAAGGGAGGTGTCCTGGAGGTCCAGAGAGAGATGCCGTGAAGGATCTAGGGTAGGGGGAGCCCTGTGGGCTGGGCCTGAGCAGAGAGGTTCCAGAGGCCCCATCACGTGCTTCATCCACCACCAGGGATTCAGGACTGAGCTGGGGCCACAAGGAACTGAGGACCAAGAGCACCGACAGGAGTCTGGAGGTGACAGAAAGGTAAGGGGGCCTCCTAAAGCCCCTGGGCTTGCCCAACCCGGAAGCCACTACTCAGGGTCCTCCCCCGGGCCCTCCTCCAACACCCCAGGCTGCATCATCAGCACCTAGTGGCCTGCACACCTCCTGTGGGAGTCCTTCTCCTACCCTCACGCTGAACTGACGACCCCAGGCCCAGAGCCAAGGCCCTGAGTCTTCAGCGCAAGGGGTAGGGGGGTCTGCTGCCACTCATGAGGCCCCCTCAATGCCTGGATCAGGGGTCTGGCAACAAGGTCAGTCTTTACCTACTTCTTTATCGCCTGTGACCCCCAGCCAGGCGTGATTGCGTCTTGAAGCATCTCAGTCTGAAGCTAACCCCTCCTCTCAGTTCCTCCCACCATTGCCTTCTGGACAGGTGACCTGGGCTCACACAGGCCCCAAGCTCAGAAGAGCCCTGACCTCAGCTTAATGCTCTGCCGCAGCCGTCTGGAAGTTCTTCCTAACTTTCGAGCAAGAAGCTCTAAGGTAGGGGGAGCATGGGGTCTTGCAAATTATGTACCTATTTCAAGCCCAGCCACCCCGAGGCCTGCAAAACAACGGGTCTGATGTGTACAAGGTTGTGTGGGGTTGAGCCCTCCTTCAGGGAGGCCCCAACTGCTGACGCCAGGGCTGCCCTGCAAGGTCCTTGATCTGGCTCCGCTCACCCATTTCCAGCAGGTCCCTAGATGCCCACCAGGCTGTTTCCTAACCCACTAGCAATGCCTGGACCATCTGGTCAGGCATCACCTTCTCCGGGAAGACCTCCCCGTTCTCCCCTCCCCAGGTGATCATGTGAGTGAGTCCCAGGCTCATGGCCGGGCTCAGCTGAAGTGACCCCTGACCTCAGGCAGGTGCACCCAGAGCTCAATGCTCAGCACCTTTGCAGCCTGGTGAGCCCAAGGACAGGCCTGTCTTCCTGATTCTAGGCTCCTTTTGGCTCCTGAATCTTCTTCCTTTGCCTGTTCCCAGGCTTGGTGTCGGACAGACTGTGAGAGCTCAGCCAACATCTGTGGGTGAGCAAGTGAACCTGCAGCTGGTCCTACCAGGGTGACCCATGGAGCACAGTGGGTGGACAGCTTTAAGCCTTGGCCCCTGTGTGGGCATGAGACCCATCCCTGGCTCACCCCAGGCTGTGGGTGAGCTCTTGCTGGGCTCCAGGCTGGGCACCTGGAACTTAAGACATGAGCAGAAGTCCGGTGGGCGCAAATATCCACTGAGAGATGAGGCCAGGGCTCCAGGGCTACCCCAAGGAAGTGACCTCTTGAGAGTGGAGGGTGACAAGGGGGAGTGAGTGGGGCAGAGCAGGACAGGCACCCCAGCTGCAGGGAGCAGTGGGCGTGAGTCCCCACCCCTCCCCTCAGGCACTGAGGGTGAGTGGAGCTCAGGGATGAGGGGGAAGTGTCCTGCCCTAAAGGGTCAGAGACTCCTGGTGGGCTTTGTGGTTTTAAAAGATCATGCTGACCATGAGAAGGGGGCAGACAGAAGCTTCAAGAGAGCGTGAGGGGCTCTGTTCATCCACCCTGCAGATTCCCTTAGCCCTCCCTGTACCAGGTGATGGGGTTCACATGTGAGCAAAAGGCCCTCAGAGTTTATGTGACCACAGGCCAAGGAGAGGGGTGGTGCAGGCCAGCTCAGGGAGGGCGCCCTGGAGGGGGAGGATGCTGAGCTGAGATCTGGAGGACCAGGACAAAAGGAGGAAAGAAAGTTCCCGGCCAACAAGCTGCATGCCTGGCATGGAAGGTGCCAGGAGGCCGAGTGCAGAGCAAAGGGCCCAGGGGAGAGTCAGGTTCAATGGCTGCCACCCCACTGGGTCTGAGCCTCAGTTTCCGTGCTGTGACATGGAGGAAACAGCACTGCCCACAAAGCTGTTTGAGGATTAAAGGCAATGTCTGCAGGGGCACTGAGCACAGCCTGCGTGTTGGGCAGCTCTGGCTGGGGAATCCCAACGCCACAGGACACGTCTACGGGCTCGCATTGAACAAAGGCACGGAGGAGGGAGGGACAGCTGGGATGGTGAAGTTTGCCAGGGTGAAGCCAGGATCTGGGTGGGGAAGGGGATGCAGGGCAGATCCACGCCCTCAGCACCCAGCTTCCATGTGCAAACCCTCTCCCCAGTCACAGCACATGGCGCCCCCCGCACTGCGAGCACAGTCAGGGCTTTTCTTATTTGCTGTGGCCTCCGCAGGCGCCAGTGAGCTCCCTGGGGGCAGAGACCGCATCTGGCATGAACACGGCACACACTGAGTGCTCAGTACCAGCCGAGGGGTGGGGTCGGTGTGGGCGGGTTCAGGCGACATGGGGTAGGAGTGGAGATGCAGATGTGTGCATGGGGCTGTCTGTGTGGACGGGAAGGATCTTTATGGGGAGACGGAGCAGGACCTGGTGGTGCAGGGATGTAGTGGGGACAACAGGCGAGACCAGAGACACAGGCCCCCGAGAGACTGAGCGCACGGAGCCCTTCCAGCCCAGAGCACCGGCAGACTGAGCACATGCTCAGGGAGGAGGGAGAGGGCGGCAGACGGCAGACCAGCGTGGCCCAGCCCTCGTTCTCCGAGCACAGGGCAAGTGTGCTGGAGACCAAACATCAGAAGACAGTCAAACGCCCCTTAGGTGGGGAGACCGGAGAGCGTGTCCTGACTGACTCATGGGTTGGAGAGGAAATCCAGGGCCGCCTGTGAAATGTTTAGACCCGAACAGCCCCACGCTCACCTGTTTTGCCTGCCGGGCTGCGGACGGACACAGCTGTGGCTGCCAGGAGCCTGCTGCTTTTCCCAACCAGCCCCCCCCTTTTTTTTATTAGGTTTATTTATTTTTAGAGGAGGCACTGGGGATTGAACCCAGGACCTTGTCATGCTAAGCATGCGCTCTAGCGCTTGAGCTAGCTATACCCTCCCCCCACAACCAGCTCTTAGCAATAGAACTCCCCACCCTCCAGCCCTGCGTCCTGTTCTAGGACCCACTCTGGCTGCTGACCTGTTGGGCCTGTTGTTAAATATTTTGCTTCTTTTTTTAAAAAATGGGCTTTGAATCCAGTACATCATGCAGGCTATGCACGCACTCTGTCGCTGAGCTACCCCCACCTGATAATTGCTTGACTGTCTCCCTGACTAGAAGAAGCTTCCTTGCCCTAAAAGTACTTATTTAAAAATAAGAGACATAAAGCAAAATGGCTAAAGTGCCCACCCCAAAAAGGGAAAATACAGCAAATCTTGAGGCAGAAGGAAGGAAACAAAGAGAAGAAATGAGAAAACAGAGTCCAAAGGATGGACAGAAAGGACAAGCAAGACAAAACAGGGCAGAGGCCACATCCTCCACTGAAGAGGGCAGGTGCTTCCACCTTCTTCTAGGTAATGAAAGTCCCTGCGGAGGCCACCTGCCCCGCCATCTTGCAGTGAGGCCTGAAGTCGCTAAGTCTGAGCCAAGGGGGTGAGGCTAGGACTGTGCCTCTGTCCCCTGGGCCTGTGCAGGGGAGGGGGGCATGAGGTGTGGGGGGAGGGCGGGGGCAGAAGGGCCCAACCACCCTTCTGTCACAGAAGCTTGGCACTGTCTTTAAAAAAGTAGCGAAGCTGCAGAAGTCATAAACAGCTGACTGAGCTCCCGGTGCATGAAAAACGCCGGGATGCTGTGTGGCTTAGGATCAGAATATCTTCTCACGTGTATCCGTATGTTAGGAGCAACGGAAGGGGAAAACCATGGGATCATCTCAATGAGAGGCAGAAAGACATTCTAAAATGTTCAATATTTGTTCATGAGTAAGAAAGAACCCTCAACAAAGGAGGAAGAGGCAACTTCTTAACCAAATACTGACGCTGGCTCACCTGGCTCCTGTACTAGTGCCTTCCTGAACTCTGAGAGGCTGGAAGCTGAAAAATCCCCTGGGGCTCTGGGATCCCTCCGACCTGGGTTTCTGCCCAGCAAGTGCAGGTGGGTGGGACTTGCAGGTGGGGCTCCTGGAGGGGGCAGTGCAGGCAGGGGAGTAGGTTTTAGGCGAGCCAGGGGCTCTGGCACTGGTTCTTCAGGGGTGGCTGCACCAAGGCATCCAGCCAAGGGTCTGTGTGTTGCTCCTGGGGCAGCGATGGCAGTAGTGTGCCCACGAGGGGACTCCGTGGTGTGCTGGCAACTTTCCTGGCTGTGTAGCAGATGAGCCCAGAGCTGTCTCCTCCCTAGAGTTTCACTGGAGCTTCTCAGAACACCTCACATTTATAATAGCCCTGTTTATATCAGCTAGTGTGGGTTCTGTTATGTGCAGCCAAGGGCTCTGATTGGTTTGCCTGAAGAAGAGCTGGCAGAAAGCCTTGGACACACACCGTACTTAACCGGAAGACTCGAAGTGTGTTCCCAGTCAGCCAGCAACAGGATGAGGTTGTGGGATCTGCTTTTGCCAAATACCACATACAACGTGGCTATTAGAAATAGTAAGAAGGTTTGGCAAGGTAGCTAGATAACAAACCGATACACAAAAATCAAAAATATTCTCAGCATGCTAGTGAGCAGGAGAGCATCTGGGGGACCATGGGCCGGACACAGTGACCCACACACTGATGCTGCTGGACTCGGGCTCTCCCAGGACAAGACATGGAAGGGGAGGGAGCCAGAGCACCTCCCACAGACAGAAGATCTTCGCAACTGAGTAGAAGTGACAGGCATGAGTGCTGGGACAACTTCTAGTTGGGCCTAAAAGATGGCATAACTGCGAGCTCATGAAAAAGATAGCCATGCTCTGTGAACAGAGTCAGCGAGTCCTTAGCGATAATGGGGCTCCACCACAGCTTTCAGGTCTCGCCTGGTGTGGAGAGTCCAGGTAGAATGAAGAGGTTCTAGCAGCCACCAACACTGGAGTTCAACATGCAAAGAAACAAACAGGATGTCTTGATGTAGGGAAATAAAACCTGGGCAAAGTGGACTTAAGTGCAAATAGAATCAACGAACGACCCAGCCAAGCAGGCAGGGCGGCCTTGAGCCAAGAAGCACCTTTGTGATCATCAGGTGTGACTAGACATCAGTCAGCCCGCAGTGGGCCCTACAGAGGGCCAGCCAGGGTTCTCCTGAAGGCAGCTTCTGTGCAGGTGGGCTTGAGTGGAGCAGCTTCTCGGGAGCGTGGGCAGCTCCGGCCATCGCTGGATGGAAGGGGAATGGTGGCCGCTGGGCAGAACGACCAGAAGAGTGTTGTGGTAAGAACTGCTGGCTCCCCAGAGGCCGGCCGCCAAGATGGAGGCTGAAGCATCGCTCAGGGCACCAGTCTCCTTGACTCCTTGCATATGGCCTGCTTCTGCTCCCTGCGTCTTCTCTGAAGGGCTGCCATGTAGTGCGGTGACTCTCAAGTGCTATGGCATAAGCGGCCACTCCCGGTGAAGGGGAAGCGGGGGAGGGGAGGGCACGCACAGCTCATGCTCCCCTCAGAGGTCTCTGCGTTTAGTTGCTGTTGTTGTTGAGTAAAAGCAGGTTTATTCAGAGAGACGCACACTCCGCAGACTGAGTGTAGGCTGTCTCAGAAGGCCAGAGAAGACATGAGGCCGGTATGTGTGTTTAAAGTAGAAGCAGACACACTGTACAGACAGCGAGGGCCGTCCCAGAAGGCAAGGGAGCCAGAGGCCGTGAGGGGTGGTGTTGCCAGCTTTCATGGGCTTGGTTGTTTCACGTGATGAGGAGGATGATTCCAACGACTTTGGGGAAAGGGCAGGGATTCCCAGGAACTGGGCCACGGCCCACTTTTACCTTACACTGTCCCTGAAACTGTCAGGAGCCCGTTGGGGTGCCATTTGGGTTTCTGCGTTCTTACCACCTTCCATTTAAGCGGGCATTTTCAAGCAATGGGAAACTTCTTTTCACTGTTTAATATCTAATTTCTACGTGGTCAGTTGTGCTTATAATTAAACGTTTCTGCCAACTAGATATCAGATGCAGCATTTGAAAGACATAAATATTTACCATTTTTAAACAACCACTACCAGTCTGCACTCATGACAGCAGTGGTGTGGGCAGTCCAGGACACGAGTGAAGAATCGTCAAACCAGACATGACCAAAGGGGGTTCCACTGACAGGAGCAACAGATGGGTAACCAACATGCAAACGTGTGAAACTTCCCCAGTTCCACCTATAAACCAACGAGAACCTCAAAATTCTTGAACTAAGTTTTCCTAAAATTCATGTCGAAGAGCAAAGGGACAAGAGGAGCTAGGACATCTGGAAGAAGAGATGCCCAGGCTCCCCCTGCTCCCATGATTGGGACACTGTCCCCTGGGCAGGGCCAGACTGCAGACCATGAGCCCACACACGTGGGACTGAGAGTGGGGACAGGGAGGGGCTGGGCAGCTCCAGCCTTCAGTACGATGTGAAAAGTACAAATGACAAAGGAAAAGGTGGATAATTCTGACCACATTCAAATTAAAACCTAACC